TTCTTATTTTAGCATTTGAAGCATTTGTGTGTCATTTCCCTTGTGTGTAATAACTGGAGCAAGCAGTGTCTACTAATCCTGTGTTAACAAATTGAGATGCATACGTTAAAGTTTTAAAGCATAAATCAATCATTTAACAATGTGTAAAACATAACATTATCTTTATCCCAACTAAACCATGTTTAAAAAAAAATAACCATGCAATTTATGTTCAAAAAATAATTGAAGATATTCATAATTTACGACAATAAGAATATGTTACATCTCATATTTTCTAGATCAAATAACAACAGAGACCTTTACACTTCTACAAATTTGCAAATGATACTCGAACTTGAGCTCTGAAGCATTTAGAATCAATATGATTTGAATAATATCAAAGAGCAAAACAATATGATTTGAACAATAATTACCATTGATTAACAATATCTATACAATACAAGATAGTTTGTTAAGTGGCAGAGAAAAACGAACATAAAATATTTGAACAATAATTACCATCAACAATAATTATACATTAGAACAATAATTACCATCAGCGAAAATGCTAACCTATCCAAATGGCAGCCCTTTGACAAAGAAATCAAGTCTTCAACTCGAACTTAAAAATTAAAAACAAAATAGATAACCAGCCAACACTTTTCTTTCCTTATTTTCATGAATAAGTGAGGGGTGTCCCTTTTGTAGGATGTAGATTGAAATGAAAGACCTCAAGATAAACCATTGAGCCTTTACCACGACTTCTTGCCGACCTGCTTGTTTGAAGCCACGGTTCATTGGCCAGGGCCACTTTGTTGGGAAAAATGTGGATAGTAGTATGGAACCGAATGACCTATTGTAGAATATGAACATAAGCACATGCCAAATCAAAAATCGAATGGAATGGAAAGATTGAAACATGTAAACCTTGGGAAGTAAATATGACATTTGTTGATGTTGGTCAGACCAAACTTGATGCTGGCGAGTGTTGTGGATAAGCTTGGTTTTCGACGTTGCCCTACATCAAACAATAACTCAATTATTAGTTTTACACAAAAAATCATAATAAGCTAAATCACTAAAATATACTAACCAACAATAGTTGTGAATACGAAAGCGGTGTCTGTACTAAATATTGTTGAGATACTTCAATGACAGGTGCAACCAATGGCGCATTACTGTGACTCGACGTTGGCCTCTTTCCTTTGGTAGAAGTCTACACGTAAACATGTATTACATATCCGCTGTAGCGGAATATTAATAAATTAATAAAAAGACTGACCAACATACCTTTGTTTTCTTCAAAGAGGACTCCAATGGACTTTTCTTCCGAAGCATCTTTGGTGCGCCCTTTCTCTTGGTTAATATAGAATTGCGTACGCACTCGCTGGCATTGTCTTTGGATTCATTGCATAGCGAGGTGAACTGATTACCAACATGTGAAATGATATTACTCCCACTATCTGACTTTATCATAAGCAGCTCTTATTTTTTTATTTATTATCCACTCCTTTATTGCATGGGATTGTACTTCATCATCGGCAATGAGATTTACAACATCCGCAAAATCTCGACACAGATCGTCATATCTCAACTGTTTTGGCGTACTTACCAGACCGTCGTAATTCACTGCGACCCTGGTATGTGTTCTACAAACATCTCGCCTCCATCGCCATAGTATATACCTCTCAGGCAGTGACGTGACATCATTTCAGATCAATACCATGATAGCATGCCAACATATAATTCCCCAAAACTCAAACAAGTGGCAACTGTAAATGATTTCACAAACATCTCTCTGGAATAAGACGAAGAACTTTTTTATAATTCGTCGCTCATCACACATGACAACCTTCCGTATTTCTTAGATCATCCATGTAGTACCATCCGTAGTAGATATGATGTCACAGTAAACCTTTTCAGTCGATTCGATTTGAACTTCTCTGAATTTCAAAATGGTATAACACTTTTGATGCTGTTTCTCCATTTTGAACGTTGTTGTACACGGTACCATTTGTGAGTATGACTTGAAGTCAGCCTAGAACTCCTTCTCAACCTTATTCTTTAGTGCTCATTCATTTGCTCGACAAACTTCTTCAACGAGGTCTTTGCATGAACATACCGATCGAAAAAGGCATTCATACTCTCACTGTGCTGAGTTGTTGACAATTCTGCCCAAAATGTGGTCTTAAAATAGCAAGGAACCCAACGACTTCTATTATCGAACCATCCCGATAACCAATCACTATTATGCAAGTAATATGTGTTGATCATTTTTCTCCAACCCACTTTAAATTCTTCGACAAATTGGGAATCATATACTAATCTATGTATGATCGAAAAAATCGAAACCTTATCAACATAGTATCCAAATTTTTCTGGCAATTTCTTCAAAATATGCCATAAACACCATCTATATTTCGTATTCGGGAAAAACAATCTCAATTGCATTTTGTATAGCTTTATCTTGATCAGTGATGATTCCATAGGGAGCTTTTCCATACATACACTAAAGCCACGTTCAAAATAGCCACACAAAAGAATTTGTGTCCTCACTGGACAACAAACCCAACCAAGTAAAGTAGATTGTCTATGATGATTAACGCCAACAATAGGGACAAAAGACATATCGTACTTATTAGTTAAGTAAGTGGTGTCAAATGTGACAACATCGCCAAACTCCTTGTATGCTTGCCGACACCTATTACTTGCCCAAAATATATTCCTCAATCGAGACTCATCGTCTAAATCTATGTTGAAGTAGAATCCTGAGCACTGGGCTTGCAACCTGGAAAAGTAGGATTGTATTGTTGCGGCATCTGCTTCCCCAAGTCTTTATCTTCTGACTTGCTCAACAAAATTTCGACAGTCCTTTTCCATGCAAATAAGGTTTTCATATCCCCCTACTTCAACAACTATGAAGTGGTGGCTTTTGTGCAATGAAATTCTCGCCAAATCATTTACTTCAAGCTTTCATTTCACTTGTGAACTTATCTCCCAATTGCAGTGATACAACCTCGATTTCGAAGGATTATTTTACGATTGAGGTCAAGATGGACTTTGTTAATTTTTCAGATCCCATAAATATCTGAACATGCAGTGATTCTGGCTTTATTTATCTGAATAGTTGGTTGGGGCTTCAAAGAACCACTTGTATTAGTGGTTCTTCGACCTTCACGATTACATGTAAGGGTGGCATATTTCATTTTTCCGTCGTCTCATTTTTTTGAATTCCTTCTCCCAACTAGGAACCCAACATAATATGCATATCTTTTATAGAAGTCCCACAATTCTTTCTCATTATTGAACGTCATACCCACCTAGGACACTATCAGACCATCTTCTCCTAATGTTTGATCTTCCACTGATATTACATTGTCCGCAACATTCTCGTCAACATCTCTCTCCGCCAAAAATTCATCATGGGTGTCTTCCATATTTTCTTCTACTATAACACATTGAGCAATAACATTCAGCAGAACACTTTTTCAATCAGGAGTGTTACAACATTCAAAGAAAAAAAAATAGAAGTGTGTGTTAATCAGGAGCACTACATGACCGCCAAAATAGAACATGGTCAAAATGAGGAGCAAAAGCCACATCATTTATTAACAATTGAAAATTACCCATTCAGAAATATGTTTTGGTCCACTTTACAGATAGGAATCAGTAAGCAGAAAGTAAAAAACCTCTCTACTGCTAAGGTTAACCTTCTATGTAGACAACTTCAGTAAACAAAGGTAGGCATCCTAATCCCACACCATAGTTGACGTGTTATTCGTAACCTTTGCAGAACAAGAAAGCAAGGGTACCTAACAAAATCTAAAAGGTGTGACAAAATGGACCCTTTTGGATATCTCCTAAAAACTCTGAAAGGCTTCCCCCTAGCATCTCATGTATGACCTATAAGCACTGAAATCTTACTCGGCAGCGACTTCACAAACAAGTTCAACTTAATGCAGACTCAACTTGATTACAGTCTTCTTTGGAGAGCAGCTAATGCGCCAAGGAAATATCAACTTCTTATTTATGGTATAAATAACAAGAGGCATTAAGTGGACAATGAAACAATAAAAACATAATGACAACTACTTGAATTGGCTCCTCTGGGTTTTTCGGTATAGGAGAAATGTAGATTTTGCTATTGCCGGAGTTGGGCATCACCATCTTCATAGTCGAGGAGTGAGGGCTTCGATTTCACCTTCACCAGATTTCGGGATTTTGTCTTCCGTGGAGCTTAATTTCATGAGTAGCACTAGGCGGGGAAAAATAAAACTTTGGTGGGACTTCTCTGGCTTCTTCACGTGATGAGCTTTTCCTTTATGTTTCAATTCGGTCATTCATTTGAAAGTCAAAGAACTCTGCTCTAGGTTGTGGTGGTCACGTGAGATGCACATTTTTCCTAAAATTCAAATTCCTGGAAGATCTTCTGTCAAGCCATTATGTACAAGAGGCGAACTTCTTATCACTCAACTTGGCCATGAAGAATAATTCATATTATAATACCTAAACAAAAAATAAAAATGTTAGAACTCCTGGGATTAAATCCTGAGTTACCTAGGCCCTTGGATCTGAATTTCATCGCCCTGGAACTGGAGCCAAACCCGAGATTTAATCCCGGGCTCTGTAGCAGCTCTGAACAAAAAATTGTATGTCTGTGCATAATTATTTCGCCTATATGAGCACGTGTCAACATGTAATGCCATGTGTGCTCCTGTCTTCCACGGAAAAATCGTAGTCGTCCATTTGATCTCAATCGACACAATTTCATAAATACCAACTTTCCAAGGACAATCGTATCCCAGTATTTTGCAAACTTATGCTCACTTAACCACCGTTTAACCCATCCTTTAACTATAGTAGACACCTCAATACGACGCCGTATAACTACAATACCACCTATCTCTATTTAACATTTGGCCCCAAAAAAAAATTTTTTTTTTGCCAAATTACATACCGTGAGGGAGAGGAGAAATTTTAGTGAGAGAAACTTCTGACAAATTCGGGGATGCATCGGCCGTAGATCGGTCTGTCTCTCTCTCAAATTTATCCCACCAAAATTCTAGCTTTTCTCATCCACAATTTTCGGTTTTTCATTTTGCCAAAGATATATATATATATATATATATATATATATGTTATGTGTAGAAAATGTGTAACTCATATATTTGTGGGGCATGAGGAGGTAGTGAATACCGATCCAGATTGTGGGTTTGAACTCTTATCGACAACTTGATTTTTTCAAGGGTTTTGATTTTTCGGGAATTCAAGTGTTGCTGAATTTTGAGGTGGGTGTTTTTTTGGGATTTTTTGGAGGTTGAGTTTCTTGCATGCAGTCCGGGGCTAGGGGGCAGCAAGGAGGTGGGAGAGGAGGGCATGGGCCGAAGATGGTGGCATCTGCTTCTGCTTCGCCGTCCTCTTCCTCATCAGCTGTGTCGGCTCCGTACCTAGCATTTGATCAGCAGCAGCAGCAACAACAGCAAAGACAGGTTAGGTTTGATATGAATTAGTATGTGCACGCACTTCACGTTTTTTCCTTGATCTACAGAAATTTTAATTTTCATGAAATTAGCTAATTAGCAAATGTATTTGAAGGAAAATTGATATTTATTTTATTATTTGCAAATTGCCTTTAAAATTATATATGTTTCATCTTAGTTTCCGGAGTTGAAAAAACACAATCTCCCTTTTAAAAAGTAGAATGTGTTTTAGTCAATTGGGCTGGCTCTGAGCTTTATTAATTGATTATGTTAGGAATTTGGACTTAATTAGGTTTTTACTTGAGTTTGCTTCGAGTTGTGTTGTCTATTACTTATACCTATCTGTGAAAATTAAGCCTTTAAGATAGTTTACTTTTTCCTTTGAAAACTGGGAACATTGAGAAGTGTAGTTTTAACTGGAGCTAATACTAGGTATGCACGAATTGATCTATGACAAAATAGCATTGAATATGCAACTATATCCCAAGATTTCGTGTTTTCATGTATGGGGCTTATCATTTCTTTTTTATGCGATGCATGCATCGACTTCTGAGCATTGGCAGTCGTTGAGTGATGTGACATTTCTGTTAATGTCAGCAAGCGTGCATTCAAGTAAGATTCAGTTATTTTAGGAGTTAAAGATTGTTGATAGCTCTGGAATATTATATCCGAACTGTTATTACCTAGGGAAAGGTGAAAAGCACTCGGTCATTTGTCAAACTGTCCATCCACAACCTGTCCTCATACATCATTATTGTGTACCTGTTGGTCGGGGCATTTGATTGGAGCTGATTGCTTTATCATTGTATGTACAAGCTTGTGGGTACAAAGTGCTACGTCAAGTCTGTGTGTCATACGTGTTGATCTTCAAAATCGATTGTGCTGAAGGATATAATATTGGAATATGGAGAGCTATTCAGTATCTTAGAACCTTCTCATGGATAATTCCTTCAGCTGTTTTAATTTTAAAGATATTTCAACTTCCTGACAACTATCATTGTCAGACTGTGTGTATTAGATTTACGTGGTTAGCAACATTTTCTTTATCTTGTATGATTTGCAGTTGTGATTGGATGTCCCACACATCATTCTTCCTTCCAAAATGTTGCTTATATGATGTCTTGAAACTTGTCATGTTTGAGAACTCATGATAGGATCCCTGCTGTTGCTGCTGTTACTGGTACAGCTGTTGGATCAGTTGAACAATGTGATGCTAGACATTAGGGGTGATTTGTGTAGTAGTTAGAATCTGGTACGTTGTAATCATGGAAGGATATATATATGCTGTAAACTGTAAACACTTGTTATTGAATATGAATTCCATGGAAAACAAACAGAATGTGAATGAACAAGTCCAAAGAAATTTGAGAGGCCCTGATCTCTCTCCCTAACTTGAACGTGTGAAAATGGGAATGCTTCCTTGTGCCCCCTTGAAGAAAAACTGAATGATTTTATTTTCTGATAATTATACAAAGTCACTAGTTACAATTTATACTATAAAGGAGGCTATAGAAAAGGAAACTTCTAATAAGGAAAAAATCAATTAATATACTATGCAACACTAATCATGGTAAGGAAATAATTTAAATTAATCCAGTCTAATCTTTCCTTCTTCTATGATATGATCCAATTTTTCACACTCCCCGTCAAGTTGGATCATAGATATTGATCATATCCAACTTATATATCAAGTCCTTCAAATTTTGCTGAGGTAGTCCTTTAGTAAAAATATTTGTAGTTTGTTCTTATGTAGGGACATAGGTCATACAAATACTCCCTTTTTCAACCTTTTCTTTTATGAAGTGTCTGTCTACCTCTATATGCTTGGTACGATCATGCTGAACTGAATTGAATGAAATATTAATTGCTGCTTTGTTATCACAATAGATTTTGATGGGCTTTACTCTGACTTGCAATTCCTCTAAAAGTTTTCTTAGCCATAGTCTTTCACATATTCCTTGAGCAATGGCTTTGAACTCTGCTTTGGCACTGCTTTTAGCTACAACATTTTGTTTTTTACTTTTCCATGTTACCAGATTTCCCCACACATAGGTGCAATAATCAGTGGTTGATCTCCTATCTTGAACCTACCCAATCTGCATCTGTGAAGACCTCGACCTCCTTCTGTTCATTCTTCTTGAAAAATAGTCCTCTTCCTGGGGAACCCTTGAGGTATCTTAGTATCTTGTAGACTGCTTCTAGGTGACTTTCTTTTGGTGAGTGCATATGCCGACTTACACGACTCACTGTAAATGCAATACTAGGTCTTGTGTGTGATAAGTTGATTAATTTTCCAACCAGTCTTCGATATCTTCCTATTTCCACTGGATTTCCAACATCTTTAGGTTTTTTCTCAGTTTCCATAGGTATTTCACTTGGTTTGCAACCTAGCATGCCAACTTCGGTTAAGAGGTCGAGAACATATTTCCATTGTGAGATATTGATCTCTTTTCTTGATCTTGCCACTTCCATTCCCAAGAAGTACCGCATTTGTCCCAAATCCTTTACCTCAAATTCAATGGCTAGACGTTTCTTTAGTCTTTCAGTCTCCTTCACATTGTCCCTTGTCAGAGCAATATCATCAACATATACAATTAGAATTGTTTTAATCCCATTATCAAAGTGTTGGTAAAACATGGCATGATTTGATTATCCTTGTTGATATCCTTGACCTTCCAATACTTTTGCAAATCTGCCGAACCATGCTCTTGGTAACTGTTTGAGTCCATATACAGATTTCTTTAGTCTACATACTCAGTTTCCATCATTCACCTTGTTGAACCCAGGTGGCAGTGTCATAAAAACTTCCTCTTCTAATTCTCCATTCAAAAATGCATTTTTAATATCGAGTTGTAGTGACCAATTCAAATTTAGTGCTAAGGACAGAAGTACTTGAATGGTATTGAGTTTTGCTATTGGTACAAATGTCCCTGTGTAGTCAATGTCATAGGTTTGTGTGTATCATTTTGCAACCAGTCGAACTTTGTATCGTTCAATTGTTCCATCGGCTCTATATTTCAAGTTGAAGACCCATTTGTACCCAACTGGTTTTTTTTCCTTTTGGTAGGTCTACTACCTCCCAAGTCTCAGTTTTCTCCAACGCTTTCATTTTTTCCAATACTGCTTCTCTCTATTTAGGACTTTCCAAAGCTTCTTTGATATTTCTCGGGATTTCTGTACTGTCAAGATGAGATGTGAAAGTATGAAATCCTGTAGATAAAGCATTATAAGATACGAATTTTGAAATAGGATGGAGTGTACATGATCAAGGTTGCTTTATGAGGGCAATGGTTAGGTCAGGAATTTCTAAAATTTCATGAGGATCGGACTCTTTTGGTGCCTCGGATGTGCAGATCTCTATGTACTTTGCTTATGGCCTCCGTGAGTAAACTAGTATCTCGTTATCATTTTGTTTTTCCACATCTCCACCTGGATTCAAGTTGTCCTCTGTTTAAGGCATACTGGAGGGTAGGATGGGATTGATGTTCGTAGGTGTAGATGGAGGAGATGTGAGATCGAAGTCTAGAAACCTATCTTCATGTAAGGTCTCCCCCTAAAGATACATTTTTTTGAAGTACGGAGTATCTTCGAAGAAGGTGACATCAAGACTTACAGAGGTTTTTTTTTGTTGAAGGGTCATAGTATTTGTAGCCCTTCTGAGTGGGAGAATATCCAATGAGTACACATTTTACTGCTCGAGGATCAAGTTTTCCTCTGAGATGAGAGGAATATGAACAAAGGTAGTACATCCAATACTCGTATGGATAGATTAGAGTTGAGTCGAGAAGTTGGAAAAAAATCCTCAAGTTTTTAAAAGGGGTGATTGGAAGTTTAGAGTATGATTGGGCATTCTGTTAATTAGGTAGGTGGAAGTTAGGATAGCAACTCCCCAGAACATTTTTGGCATATTAGTATTTGTTATGGAATTATGCATTAGTTTAGGTTTATATTTATACAATACGTGCATATATGGTAGGTGCATAATTTTAGATTATTTCCTTGTATGGAACACTCTCTCTTTGTATATATGTAATACACGTCTATGAATAATAAGTGAAGTAAGTTATTCCCCCAAATTCAACATGGTGTTAGAGCCTGATTCAAGAAATTAGGGTTTGCGATTTTTTTCGTGGGATTGGTCTCGGTGGTGGAAAAGGTTTGGGCTAGTATTTTCCGTGTTAAGATAGAGACTTACCTTGGGTCACTTCTTGGTGGTTGATGACCAGAAGCATGGCGGCAGAAATTGGTTGCACCGAGCGTTTCGCGACGTCGTGTGATTCCGACTTCGTCGACCTCTTTGTGGCGAGTGTTGGGTGTATGAGAATTCGGCTTCTTTTGGCTTCGTTGGCTTCTTCTAGCTTCGTCGACTTCTCTTTTGGTGAGCGTGGATTGTGTCTGTGTGTGGGCTGCAGACAAGTTTTCTTCTGGCTTCGTCGACTTCTCTTTTGGTGAGCGTGGATTGCGTCCGTGTGTGGGCTGCAGACAGGTTTGGGCTATTTGTTTGGGCCGAGGTGGGTCGGTCTCATTTTAATTTGGTTGGCTTGATTTATTTTGTTTCGTTTAGGCTGCATTTTATTGTTGGATTGATATTATTATTTAGTTGGTTTGGAGTTTATTTTGTGTTTCTTTTTGGTTCTCTGATAATTAATGGTAGAAGGTGATAGAAAAATGGTGAATGAAATCACAATAACCCCATATGCAAAAATTACAGAAAGAAAGTTGATGGGAAGTAAAAATTATACTCAATGGAAGAGAATTGTTCGTAGATATGTATCAAGTTTAGATTTGGGTGACCATTTGACTGATGACCCACCTCCACATTCTAATACTAATTCGAGGATTCGAAAAAAATGGTTGATGGAGGATGATAAACTCTTTAATTAAATTCAAAATACCCTTCACCCGATAGTTGATGACGTTATTAATCATTGTGACACTGTGAAAGAACTGTGGGACTATCTAGAGTTTATGTGTGCTAGTAAACATGATGTATCGTATGTTTATGAATTGATGCTGAAGATTTATCGAGCTGAGCAAAAGGGTCGAAATTTCTTTCAATATTATACTGAGGTAAAATAGGCATTTGAAGAAAAGCGAACCATGTTTCCTATTATTAATGATGTGAAAAAGATGCAAGAACAAGAAGAGCAGATTGTGGTCCAGTGTTTTCTCGCAGGATTGGGTCCTAAATATGAGGTGGCTCGTACTTAGTTACTTACCAGTGAGACACTACCTTCGTTGAGTGATATATATGCTTGTCTCCTTCGGGTATGCAAGGATGATGAAAAGGAACAGAGTACAGTACCAAATGAGACGGTAGCTCTAGTTGACACAAATTCAAAATCAAATAACAGTTACAATAAGAAAGGGGAAGGAGGAGTTAGTCGAGATAAAATTTCTAGCGGTGGTTCTCGTGGTTGTTATTATTGTGGAGAGCAGGGGCATGTTAGGAAGAACTGTTGGAAATTGAATAGTAAACCAGCAAGCTACACGAGTCAATCTTCCATGCGAAAGTTTGTAAATGTTGCCACTTAGGATGGTCTTTTATCTATACCTTCTGGTCAGCATCAAATTACAATCCCAGCAGATGAATATGCTCACCTTACACAATTTTTACACAATTTTACACCTCTCAACAGCCTCTTACACATTCCACTTCCACCCCCACATCCACCTCCACTTTAGCCAACACTGGTAATTTTATAGCGTGTCTTTCTACCTCATCCCGTAATTGGGTCATTGATTCCGATGCCACAGATCACATGATTGGGAATACAGGTATATTATCATCACTTCAATACTCTTCCAATTTACCATGTGTTACTTTAGCTAATGGCTCTACAAACGTCTGTTGTTGGATGTGGGACTGCACATCCAACAAACTCACTACCATTGTCATCTGTTTTATGTTTACATCAGTTTCCTTTCAAACTTTTATATGTGAGTCAAATTACTAAATCTCTTAATTGTAGTGTTCTTTTTTTCCTGATCATTGCTTTTTCCAAGATCTTGGGACGAAGCAGATTATTGGTAGAGGGCGTGAGCTCAATGGCTTATATGTGCTAGATTCTTCTCCCACACAGGTGCTAGGGTCGATTGCATGCACGAGTACTTTTTTTCTTCTACAACTCTATTGTCGCTTCGGTCATCCTTCTCTCCCTGTTCTGAAGCAGTTATGTTCTAGTCTTAGTTAAGAGTCTCAATTAAATTGTGAGTCGTGTCAATTAGCAAAACATCATAGAGTGTCATACTCTCCTAGAATGAATAAACAGGCTGCGCCCCTTTTGATCTAATACATTCAAATATTTAGGGTCCTTGTCCTATTTTATCTAAGTCTGGTTTTTGCTATTTTGTTACTTTCGTGGATGATCATTCTCGTGTTACTTGGTTATATCTTATGAAAAATCGTTCTAAACTATTTTCAATTTTTTGTACATTTTATGCTGAAATCAAAACTCAATTTAACAAATCTATACGTATCTTAAGGAGTGATAATGCCAAGGAATATTTCTCATCTGCCTTTACTTCATTTCTTTCACAAAATGGTGTTTTTCATCAATCTTCTTGTGTTGTTACTCCACAGCAAAATGGAATGGCAGAAAGAAAAAATCGTCATTTATTGGAAGTTGCACGAGCTCTCTTTTTTCACATGAAAGTTTATCAACCGTATGCCCTCCTCTGTTTTAGAGAACAAGATCCCTTATTCCATTCTATTTTCCTCCAAGACTCTATTTTCTCTTGCTCCTAGAATATTTGGGTGTGCTTGCTTTATTCAAGATATGAGACCTCAAATTTTCAAACTTGACCCTAGATCCCTTTAAGCGTATATTTTTGGGTTACTCTCAACATCAAAAAGGTTATCGATGTTTTTCGCCTTCATTAGGACGATACTTAGTATCTACTGATGTCACATTTTTCGAGTCCACACTATTTTCAAGTAATACCGTGTCCTCTAATCCATCTTCTGTTGAGTCTGATGACAATTTCCTTATTTACACCGTGACTACTCCCGTGTCACCAGTATCTTCTCGCCCTCCTATTCGAAGTGTTTATACTCGTCATGTGCAGCAATCCCCGGTGGCATCCATTACTGACCATGACTTGCCACCTCTACCTGTTACTTCGCCTCAGGATTTGTCGCCTTCTCATGATCCTACTCGTGATCTTTCTATTGCCATTCAAAAGGGTAAACGGTCATGTACTTATCCTGTCTCTTCTTTTGTTTCTTACCATGCATTGTCCCCATCTTCTAGGTCCTTCATTGCTTCTTTAGATCATGTGTCTGTACCAAATCTATCTCTGAGGCTTTGTCCCATAGTGGTTGGCGAGCGGCCATGCAAGAAGAAATGCTGGCATTGGAACACAATCACACATGGGAATTGGTTCCTTTACCCCTCATAAATAGACAATCGGGTGTAAATGGGTGTTTACAGTCAAGATGAATCCCGATGAATCCGTTGCTCAATTGAAGGCTCGTTTGGTTGCTAAGGGATATGCTCAAACTTATGGTGTGGATTACTCCGAGACTTTCTCTCCTATTCCTAAACTCGCTTATGTTCGGTTGTTCATTTCTCTTGCGTCTACCTATCATTGGTCGCTTCATCAATTGGATGTCAAAAATGCTTTTCTCCATGGTGATTTGCACGAGAAAGTTTACATGGAGCAACCACCAGGGTTTGTTGCTCAGGGGGAGTTAGGGAAGGTATGTAAACTACAAAAGTCATTATAGTACCTGGTTTAGGAGATTTAGTGAGGTTGTGACTGAATTTGGCTTGAAAAGAAGTGCATATGATCACGCAGTATTCATTAAACAGTCTACAGTTGGATGTATCTTGTTAGTGGTATATGTTGATGATATTGTGATTACTGGTAGTGATAGCAGTAGCATAAGTACGTTGAAGGCTTTTCTAGGCACAAGGTTTCAGACAAAGGAACTAGAGATGGGCGCATGTCGGTTCGATTCGGTTCTAAAGAGAACCGAATCGAACCAAAACTTTGGGGTATTTAGTAAATGGAACCATCAGGTCCAAATATAATTATGGAACCATTCGGGTTCAGTTTCGTTCAATTCGGTTCTGTACTATAATTAAATTTTTTAACAATTATAACAACATTATATAAATACAACTAATGACATATTCAATGGTTTTGGAATGTCAGAGACTAGTAGACTACCTTTTTCAAATGATCACTACGGTCAAAGTTTCGGTTGACGGAGGACACAGCTTCGATCGAAGGTTACGGTGTCGACCGATGATTGTATAGGTTTTGGAATGTCAACGAGACTGCGAGAGTGAGTGTAAGAATTTAGATAGCGTTATGCACTTTAGTGTAGGTGTTTAGTGTTATTTAGTGGATTGGATCTTGTTGGTCTAAGAAATGAAACAATAAAGTGGGTAATTGGGCCAAAAATTTGGATTTAGAAATTGTTAATTTGTTAATTTGTTTAGAAAAATTAAAATTAAAATAATTTGATTCATTCAATATAAAAAAATTAGAAAGATTCGATTTTTATTCGATTTTTCGATTCTTGGTCTAGAATCGGGAACCGAACCATACCGTGCTTGTCGATTCTCAATTTAGATACCCGTTCGGGTATTAAATTTGACAAGAACCATTAGGTTCGGTTCGCTTCGGTTCGAGAGATTTGCCCAGCCCTAAAAGGACAAAATCCTTTGAAATATTTCTTAGGGATAGAGATCTCTCGAAGTGGTAAAGAAATCTTTCTATCTCAAAGGAAATATGTTCTAGACTTGCTGGATGAGACAGGTTTAATTGAAGCAAAACCTGGTGATGCCCCTATGATACCAAATGTAAAACTTGGAACAGAAGATGGAGATGTGTTTGTTGATGCAGACAAGTATAGGAGGGTAGTGGGAAAGTTGAACTGTCTCACAATTACTCGGCCAGATATTGCATTTCCTATAAGTGTTGTTAGTCAATTTATGTCATCACCTAGAACTTCACATTGGGATGCTGTAACTCATATGCTTCGTTTGCCACAATTTTGATTTGATTTCAAAAATTTTGGAGGTGTTTTCTACATCTGAATACGTTTCTTTCACTGCCTCCCAGACATCTTTGTTGTTGGAAGGAAAAGATAAGTTCTTCCGATCGAGGGCTTCATGGAATTGACAAGCCAAGCAGTCACCATCGAGTTCTCCGACTTCCATTTTTGATGAAGAGCAGCGTTGGTTGAGGCCGGCATCTTGGTCTCTCTGGTTAGGTAACCGAGTTTTCCTTTTCCATTGACTATTAATTTTATTGATTGTGCCCATTCTTGGTAGTTCTTCCCATTCAATTTTTCTATCGTTAGTTGGAAGGATGAATTCTCAATAACTCTGGTACTCATGACAGACGTGACCTCTGATTCTGATTCTGAGGTCATGGACCCTCCATTGTTTGTGGCTGTCTCAGTCATAGCTTGGTTAGGTTTTCTAACCTAGCTCTGATATCATGAAGAAAAACTGAATGTTTTTATTTTCTGATAATTATAGAGTCACTAGTTACAATTTATACTATAAAGGTGGCTATGGAAAAGGAAACTTCTAATAAGGAAAAAATCAACTAATATACTATACAACACTAATCATGGTAAGGAAATAATTTAAATTAATCCAGTCTAATCTTTCCTTCTTCTATGATATGATCCGGTTTTCCACACCCCTTTCTCACATTTTATTGTAATATCACCTCTCACTCTATTCTTTAATATACCCCTGCAACGCCCCCAGGGCATATCTCCCAGTGGCAAAGGGGAGGGCGGATAGGGCTCAGCGCGGCAGTGTGCAGAGTTCGATTCCCCGCAAGGTGGAATTGACTTTGTTGCAAGCGGGAGTTACCATATGGGTTAACAGCCTTGGCATATCCATGTGCTCTCCACCCTGGCTCCTGGGAGGCACATCCTGCGATTTACCTCCTCCACGATGACCCAGGGCAGGGTCGGTGGGGGCCCCTAAGGTTGGGGTTCAACCTTTTTTTTTTTTTTTTTTTAATATACCCCTGCAAACTAAAATTGTACTTAATCTCCAGCTATGCTGCCGTACTGTTGGTTGTCTCTTTCCCTTTCTTTTTCCTTGCATAAGTGAATCTAATTGGAGGTCTATCAACTCATTTGATAAGTTATTAAAGTTAAACACCTAGGAAATAAGGCGTCAAGGACAAATTACTTATGAAATAATGTAAAGTAGATGAAGCTTTAATAATGAATTATGAGAATCTGGACGTGTGTTAATTGTCCCTGAAATGCGAAAGGAGATAAGCAATTGCGCGACATGCCAATGCCCTCCTAATGATGTCTTTCATGTGCTCTCTGTTTGTGATTGTATTTTCAAACATTCTCACAAAAGTAGTGTTTGTATTTCACTGAAGTTTTTTCCTTCTGCTTTTAACTGCTATGATACTTTAATTTCTAGCTATGACCATGGTTGGTTTAAGCCCTTATCTCCTTAACCTTGTGCAGCTGTTGCAGGTAATGGGAAGATTAATACTATGTGCTAGTTAGATACCAATTATGTCTAAATTCTTTCAGCAAAACTAATTTTCTTCCACCAAGTCATTTTCATGAATGTCAAGCCACATAGTGTTTGCTGTTTCTATATCTTCTCCAACACTTATGTGTCAATGGGGTTTTAAACCTTTTAATTTAGAAGGTAGCTTTATCTGAATTCCTAATTTTTGTTTTTCTTATAATTGTAAATTATTGTATTTAATTGGTATAATTTTCTACGTAAAAAATGTTGAAATAAGTATTTTTTGGTGTTCGTTTGGCTTTGTGTTATATGAAAATTGTCTATTAAAGGGATAGAATTTACTGGAATTGGGGATGAAATTTGTTTTCATTGTCAACCAAAAAAAAATTTTTAAAAAATCATCTATCTTTTGATATTTGTTTGGCTTTGTTTAACATGAAAATTGTCAGTTAAAGGGAAATATTTTTTTACAATAATTCTTAAAATTTGTTTCCATCGCAAAAAAAAATGAAAAGAAAAGGAAAAAAAATTCGGGGGGAAAAAAAAGGAGTGTTACAGTGACTGTTGAAAAGCAAGAAAAATCATAGGTGGTATGAAAAGCTAAAAAATGAATTCCATGGAAAAATAGAGCCATCAAACAAGCAAAAACATGGAATTGGAATTGGTTTTCCATTTTCCATGGAAAATTTGGGTATATCAGACACACCTTTACTGTTAATAGTATCAACTGAATATTTCATACTGTTATAATTCAAGTCTAACTTACATCCTGTGTTATCTCTTTTAATTAATAAAATTATGATTACCTATCAAAGAAAAATAATTCAAGCCTAACTGATCAAATGTTCTCACTGCTGCAGTTTACTTATACTTGTGTTCATGTTTTGATAAAAAAACAAATCATTAAACAGGTAATAGTGTACTACAAGGATCAATAGTGGCTGCTGAGAATTCATGCAAATAAAGGCGTAGAATTTGGGTTCTGTTTGTTGTTCAAGCTGTATTTGGCCATAATAATGTGTCTTCATATTCCAGCATTACTTGTTTATGACTTGATCACTTTATGTGCTCTAGGAACAAATTGGCTATATCTAACTTTAGATACATAGCTTATAAGATATTATGCCACCTGTAGGTGATTGTGTGATTTCAATATGCTTTCTGTCTGTACTTTTTTTCATTTTGAATTACAAGTCCATGTGGAATTGCTATATTTGCTAAATCCACACTGGAATTTATTTCCTCCTGTGTCGATACTATTTTCTCTTTCACCGGTACAAGTTGGAAACATTACTGAAACTGATTTGCTGAACTCATTTGTATTAGTTCTTTTAAAAACTGATTGGATACTGATAAGTTTCAGCTGAAGTACAAAAGATAATGAATAATATAGTTCTATATTAATTGGATTCTGCAGTACAAAAGGAAATGAATTAACAGGCAGCTTTTCTAGAGGGCTGTATCTCTCCTTAGTCCTACCACACTCAACAGATTTCTTGCCTTTCTCTTCCCCCCGTCCCCCTACTTATATTCTTTTTTAACTGCCTTCTTTTTTTCCTATTCTACCCGTCTAACGGAATTTATTATGGCTCCTTCCCTTCTCTCGATTTCTTGAATCTTCTAGAATAGGTATACTGGATTCGGGGTCTATCAATTACCCCCCCCCCCCCCCCCCCCAAAAAAATTCAGATACCTTGTCGTCAAGGTGAAAGGATGGAAATTGTTGATTAATGAGATGAAATGGTTCCCAAAGTAGCTCCCATAGCAGGTAACCCTTTCCACTTGATCAATACTTTCAAATTTTCTGATATCTCCCGTGTCTCATTCTGGATTCCCAGCACCGCTTCAGGTTCCACTAGAAGCTCCCAATCAGCTCCCAAATTCAGAGGTAACTGTGTGGCTAAATGACGTTGTCCCACTGCTTTTCGCAATTGTGATACATGGAATACTGGAGGGATTTGTGTCCCGGGTGGTAGGTCCAACTGATTAGCAACTTTCCCCACTTTAGCCAACATCTTGAAGGGTCCACAGTATCCCGAGGGGGGCAAGTTTTTCATTGCTACGATGTGCCTAGGGTTTACGACGATAAGGATGCATCTTTAAGTAAATTATGTCCCCTGCATTAAACTCTATTGCCCTTCTATGTTTGTCAGCTGCATTTTTCATCTGTTGTTGAGCTCGATGCAAATGGACCTTGACCTCCTCTAGTACCTTGTCCCTTTCAGCCAGTTGTTGATCCAACGAAGAGACTACCCTAGTTCCCTTTTCGAAACTCATTAGGAGAGGGGGATCACGCCCATATACGATCCGAAAAGGGGTGAACTGAGCAAATACATGGAAGGAAGTTTTGTAAGAGAGTTCAGCCCAATGTAGGTAGCGCACCCATTCCTTTGGTCGTACTGAAGCAAAGCAACGCAGTTAGGTCTCCACTCCTCGATTGAGCACCTCGGTTTATCCATCGGTTTGTGGATGATAGGCTGAACTACACTTTAACTTGGTTCCCTGGAGTCGGAATAGCTCAATCCAAAACTTGCTGAGAAATACTTTATCTCTGTCTGAAGCTATTGACTGGGGAACCCCGTGCAATTGAACTACTTCTCTTACAAAAATGGCTGCAATGGAAGGGGTCGTGAAAGGATACTTGAGACATATAAAATGGGCATACTTAAACAATCAAAGACCACCAAAATCGAATCAAACCCTTTCGACTTCGGCAATCCTTCTATGAAATCCATAGAGATGTCTTCCCATACCCTCTCTAGGATCGGAAGAGGCTGCAGTAACCCTGCAGGTGCAAGAGTGGAATATTTATGCTGCTGATAGGTTGTATAGGCAGCCACATATGAGCGAATATCCTTCTTCATGCCCACTTGTAGAAATCCTGGATCAATTATGGGATTTATTGTATCTTATATTTTTGGTATAATTATCAATTAAGTTAGGAAATATCTTTCTTCCTTAGATAGAATATTATTTTCCTTTTTTACTACCAGGTATTGTGTATATATTTAAGTTGGTTACAAGGAATGGGCTCAATCCATCAAATTGGTAGTCTACAATAAAGGAAAAATAAGTTATCTTATCGGAGACGTGAAACTGCCAACAAATTCGAACCTCTAACAAAAATGGAAACCCGAAAACTCCATGGTGATGGCGTCGCTTGTTAATTCAATGAAGCTGTCAATAGGAAAGATTTTTCTGTTCATGGCCACCACAAAGGACATATAGGACGCCGTTCGTGATATGTATTCTGATGCAGAAGACTCGTCACAGATTTTTGAAATTAAAACAAAATTGTGGCAAGCATAGCAAGGAGAAAGAAATGTCACTAAATATTACCTAGAAGTGACCACTCTCCGGCAGGAATTGGATCTTAGCACCGACGAATAGTGGGATTGCCCCGAAGATCGTGTTCGATACAAAAAAAGGATAGAGAATGAACGGTTATACGAGTTCTTGGCTGGATTGAATTGGGAGTTGAAGGACGTGAGAGGACAAATACTTAGCTGCCGACCACTGCCCTCCACACGAGATGTCTTAGCCGAAGTCAAGCGCGGGGAAAGCTGTCGGAAGATCATGTTGAAGAATGGGTTGGCTGGGACAGTAGAAGGGTCGGCCCTTGTTTTGGATTCTATTAGGCCGTCTGTGCCTAAATCGAGTGGATCTAATGGGTTAGGTGGATATGGACCAAATTGGAGCATTGCTAGATCTAAAAGATACTCCTATGATAGGTCGAAATCTATTGGGCCTGATTTGGGAATTCAAGTGCCTAGAGGGACATAAAAAATTGGACCGGGCCAAAAACAACTAAAGGGTCGTCTGTGGTACGACCACTGTCGGAAACCTGGACATAAAGAAGACACGTGCTGGGATTTGTGCGGAAAACCATCTGTTTGGAAACCGAGACAATGCTAGAAATCACGGCTATCAAGCAACTATTGACCCCACTGAAACACAGAATTCCACTCCAAATGGTGCATTCAGCCCTGAGCAACTAAAACAGCTCTACAAAATGTTTTCCAGTTTTCAATCACCTAATTCGTCAAGTTCCTTAGCCCACAGAGGTAATTTCTTAAGAGCCCTAAACACCACCTCTCTCTCAAAAGTACCGTAGATTATTGACTCTGGTTCGTCCGATCACATGACGGACTCCCACCATCTCTTTTCCTCTTACTTACCTTGTGGGAGTAATCTTAAAGTTAAAATTGTAGATTGCTCCCTATCTTCAGTAGCCGGAAAAGGGAGTATTCGAATCTCTAACTTAATTACCCTCAAACACATCTTACATGTTCTGAATCTTTCATGCAATCTATTATCCATTAGCCAATTAACAAAAAATTCAAACTGTTCAACTAACTTTTTTTCTTACCACTGTGTTTTTCAGGACCTATCATCGGGGAAGACGATTGGCAGTGCTAAGGAGTGTGAGGGATTCTACTACTTTGACGAGGCTAAAGTGAGTAAACGACGTCAATTTGCTAGTTGTGATTCTGCTTTTATTCCCAAGGATAGTGAACTACTTTTATGGCATTATAGAATAGGGCATCCCAGTTTTCAATATTTAAGACATGTATTTCCTTCACCGTTCTCAAATAAAATATCTTCTGATCTTTTTTTGCGAAAGTTGTGAACTCAAAAAACATCATCGTTCTTCATTTCCAAAATCTGTGTACAAACCATCTCGACCATTTAGTATGATTCAAAGTGACTTATGGGGACCCTCATGAACCCCCAACCGCGCTCACACAAAATGGTTTGTCACATTTATCGATGAACATACTCGAATCTGTTGGGTCTATATGTTAAAAGAAAAAATCGAGGTCCGTTCAGTGTTCATAAATTTTCATGCAATGATTCAAAATCAACTGCAGACAAAAATTCAGATTCTGCTGATAGATAACGACACAAAAATTTCAATAATACCCTAAAATCCTATTTCCAAGAAAATGGAATAGTCCACCAAAGTTCTTGTGTCAACACCCCACAACAAAATGGAGTCGTTAAATGAAAAAATAGACACCTACTCGAAGTAGCTCGGGCACTGACGTTCACCACAAATGTGAACAATACTTTGTAGGGTGATGCAATTCTAACATCAGCATACCTCATAAACAGAATGCTTAGCCTCACCCTCAACTTTGAAACTCCTCTCCAAAAGCTCCAAACATTCTTCCCTAACTCTCGCATGAGCTCCAACTTACCCTTAAAAGTGTTAGGATGTACAACCTTTGTACATATACATCCTCATCATCGAAATAAACTCGAACCTCGTGCAGTTAAGTGTGTTTTTATTGGGTACTCACCTACACAAAAGGGGTATAAGTGCTATGATCCTATCACCAAAAAAGTATTCGTGAGTCTTGATGTCACTTTCTTTGAAACTCTTTCATATTTTCCAAAAACCTCTCTTCAAGGAGAGAACATAGGTAAAGATCGGTTCTTGAAAATCTCTGTTAATTCCTCTGAATCCATCACTGAACATACAACACCACTTTGCCTCGACATGTCATTGACAGAAGGAGACTTAAACTCAGGGGGAGAGCAGAAAGAACAGCATGGCAAAGAGACAATAGTTTACTCAAGAAGGCCAAAATTAAAGAATGACCTCACACTCGAAGCACTAAAAGAGTCGGAACCAGTGATAGCTGTAATGACCCAAATTTTTATTTTATTTTATTTTATTATTATTATTATTATTTTTAGTCGCTACCAACTTTATTATAAAAGGATCAAATTATTGGAAACCACATGATTAATAAATTTTAAATTATCATCTTAAAATGAAATGACATTTGACCGTATTTAACATCTTTTATACTAGCATGATTAGTGAATATGGGTTATGAATATTTTTATCATAAAATCCAATTCAAAGTACAAATGAATAATACAACTCCACTGCATAAAGTTAACTGTGGTAGGCAGACAATTGAAAATTTGGTGTGAAGTACAGAATCATTGTTTTGACCATGCATATTATAAATCTTGAAAAGGCTGTAGATGCCTTAGAAAAATGCAAAAGTCTTTGATGTGAACTTGACAATTAATCAATTTTCTTTTAACCATTAAAGTCGATAAAAACAGTAAAATATAGTTCGAGCTCTATTTAAAATGAATTAAACAAAAAAAAAACATCCATGTAGCAAATAAACATAATTGATAACTTAATCTTTAAAATAGGATGTCTATGGCAATGAACTAAAATTACTTGTTAAAATTATAAATTCTCGTCCAGCAAATGAGGCACAACCACGCATCGAACCACCACGCTCCAACAGGACCCGATCTAACCTGTGAGGTGTAGGAAAAGGGTGAGTACATGGGAATACTCAGTAGGATATTACATTAATGGTGCGATCCCGAAAAATAATTTTAACACAAGTGTCAGAATACCATACCGTCGCATAACTTTAAATTCGGTAAGAACTCACATCATATCATATCATTTCATTTCATTGTACCGGAATGGCCATATCATTCATATCATAGCATTAATATCATAACTTTCATAAATATGAAATTCGTCCACATGTAGCCAAAATAATTAAACGGAAAATTAAAAAAAAAATACTGCACCTCATATCCTACCTTGTTAAACTGCTTAAATTTTGGAAGTCAAAACAAGGTTCACGCTCCAACAATTTCTTGGAATAAGAAAACCCAAAATCACGTTGCAACTATCTTTTCTTTTCTTTCTGCCTTATCGTGCAATAATATTACAGTGAAGTGAATGAAAGCTATTGTTTTTATATGATATAATAAAAATATCTATATAAAAAAAATGAGGAAACGTGTGGGAGTGGGGAAAGAGATATGGATCAAAATAGTTGAAACAGAATCTTGACCCAAATCTTGCCAAATGCCCACAATTTAAAAAAATAATTTATATCTTACACGTGGCAGTGCACCATATATATACAAGGGAATTTGTTTTAACCATTAGGAACGTGGATTCCCATAATTATCTCTCTCTCTCTCTCTCTCTCTCTCTCTCTCTCTCTACTTTATTTCATTTAATAAGCAAATCAATTATCACTTACCTACCACCTACTTAGAATCCTAGTACTTCACGTGAGACCTCCCAATGCAAAACACACTTAATAAAATATTATTATTAATAATAAAACAATAAAATATCTCAACAACTTTCATCTCTCTCTCCACATAAATTCTTCCAAACAAAAGTAATAAAAATAATATTTTAATGTTATATCTTCCGGCTTCGATAACTTGGGCTCGACTAACCCAAATTAATTTTTTATTGAGTCTAAAATGCGTCTTTAATTATTATCTCTCCAACGAGCCCAATACCCGTATACTTATCATCGTCCCGTCAATATTTATATTTTAATCTAAATATTATTAAAGTTTACTTTATATACACTTTAGTCCCTAAACTTTCAAAACATTAAAAATATAGCATAAATAAAATTAAATTATATTCTATAAAATTTCGGGATATTATAATAGCTGCAGATCTTCATGAGCTTCCTAAATCACCCGACACTGACCTATCTATTGCTCTCAGGAAACGAACACGGTCATGTACCCTCCATACTATTTCAAAATTTGTTGCTTACAAAGCCCTGTCTCCAGCTTTTCGATCTTTTGTCGCTAACCTTGATAATACAAAAATTCCAAGACGTATTCAAAAAGTTTTGGAAACTCCTAGGTGGAAGAAGGCAGTAATAGAAGAAATGAAAGCCTTGAAAACGAATGAAACTTAGGACGTGATGGAACTATCGAAGGGAAAGAGACCTGTTGGGTACAAATGGGTATTCAATGTAAAATATAAAGTGGACAGGACAATAGAAAGGTACAAAGCTCATTTGGTCGCAAAGGAATACACTCAAACTTATGGTATAGATTACACAGAAACTTTTGCACCGGTAGCTAAACTGAATACAATCCAAGATCTATCACTAGAGGCAAACTTGGACTGGCCACTCCAACAACTTGATATTAAGAACACATTCTTGAATGGGCAGTTGGATGAAGAAGTCTACATGATGTTACCACTAGGATTCTCTAAGAGAGGTGATTAGTGTGTTTTTACACACTTATTTAGCACTTTTTGAGACTTTATTATTGATAAAATTGAGTATATTTCTATTTATAATTGTGTAATTGTTACTTTTGTAGGCTAAAACCCCGGAAAGAAGTATAACGAGCGAAAAGAGAAGGAAAAGGACTTGAAGTGCAATTATGGAAGGGCCTAAATGTAATAAAAGTCAGATTTTGAGGACCAAATTGCACTAAATGAAAGTTGAAGGACTTGATCTGCAATTTCGAGATTTTTTGGTCAACATTTTTATTATTTTATCCTTATTTTATTCTAGATATTTTTAGGATATTTATGTTGTGTCTAATAATATCTTTTTTATATCTATTATATTTTATCCTTATTTTATGCTAGACATTTTTAAGATATTTATGTATCTAATAATATCTTTTTTTTTATATATTATATTTTATACATATTCCACATATATACTAATATAACTTGGTAGGTAAAAAAAATTCCCCAACTCTTTCACTTTTCTCTCTATCTCTCTTGGTCTCTCTCTCTCTTTTTCTTAATTTTTCTTCTTTTAGTTTTATTTTCTTTTGTTAATTTTAGTTTTATTTTGGGAATCAAGTGGATATAGCAATGAGATCATTAAGGAAAGCTTGAAGAATACATTGAAGGAATTACAATTCGTATTTAAAAGGGTTTTATCTCAACTTTTGTATTCCTTTCATTTAGTTCTTCATATTTGTAATGATATGTTTATGAGAATCTCTTTGTTATTTTGTTAGAATGATGAACTAAACAAGTTTATGTTGGAATTCATGTATTAGCTTAACCTATTTTCATTAATATCGTGTTATATGTTGTTAGATATGCATTTGTTATCAAAATATTGGTGTATTAATTATCATGTTTAAGATTACTACAGTTATTGACGTCAATAGATGTTGTGGTTAGGTAGTTGCCTAATTATTGAAAAATAGTTGCACATAATGGACCGAAATAATTAATGCCATAGGTTTGTATGGTTTCGACTATACGCGTTTAGGTATCCAGACATGTATACCTACCCTATGTGACCCGTTGAGTTATTTTCACAAAAATTGAATGCAGTTGTTTGGTTTAGAACGACATAGAAATATGTTAATGTCAAGCAATTAGGGTTGATATCGCTCGACAGAGGTTATTGACTAATTTTGGAAAATCGGGTCTAACCACATAATTTGGTAATTTACATCTACTCATAATTGGCTTGAAAAGGGTTAAGCGAAATCATAAATTCCAACATCTTTTAAAATCAAACTTTTCCACTTTTTAAGTATTATTTAAGTATTTTAAATTAAAATTGAGTTTTCGCCTTTTTATAGTTTTTAAAATCGAACTTTTAAATGTGTGCATCTTTTTCATTAATTTGAAACAAATACACTCGTAATTGAAAATAACACTCTCTGAGAGATCGACTGGGACTTGAAAGGTCCATTATACTACTTGATCGCGACCCATGCACTTGCGGCGTGCCATTTAATACCAATCAAGTTTTTGGCGCCGTTGCCGGGAATGTTTTTATCAAATTACCAGCTAATTTGTCAATCACTTTAACGAACTTTACTTTTTGTTTTAAATTCCCCCTTTTAAATCCAAAAGTTACTTTGTCTTCGTTTTTATCAAATTCCTAACTCGTTCATTGTTTATGCATCGTTCCCGAAGTCTCAATCTTCTAGAATTTGATCCTGAAATCGAAGGGACTTTCCGAAAGAGGCTTAGAGAACAAAACGAGTTGAAAAGACAACAACGAGACATGGAGCATCAAGAAGGTCATCTGGACCCTCTTATTCAACATGAACAAGCTCCTCGGGACGGTGTGCCGCCTGGTTTTGATAATCAAGCGGGCAGGGTTCAAAATCCTGTAGTAAATGAGGAAGATATGTTGTTTAGGGATTTTCTGAACCGCCCTATCGTTGAGAACCAAGCGGGTATCATTTACCCATCATATGGACATCCTAACTTTCAACTACGACCGGATGTCATTAATCTATTCTCCAATTCTTTATCATTCTATGGTAGAATAGATGAAAACCCACACGCTCACATCGCGGGATTCATGGAAATTGTTAGCAATTTCACATAAGAAGGTGTGAATGATGAGGTTATAAGAATGAGGTTATTCGTTGAAAGATAAGGCAAGAGAGTGGATTGACACTCTACCTGCGAGGAGTATCACGAGTTGGGTGGAGTCGGTGCAAAAATTCACTACTAAATTTTTCCCACCTGCTCGTGTGGCCAAGTTAAAGCACGATATAACCACTTTCCAACAACTTGACTCTGAAACCTTTCACGAGGCTTGGGAGAGGTTCAAGGACATGCTAAGAAAGTGCCCAAACAATGGGATTACTTTACCACAACAAGTCCAGTACTTCTACGCCGGGTTAACTCCTTCTCACCGCTCAAATGTTGACTCATTGTCAAACGGATCTATCCAAAACAAAAGTATCCGAGAGGCGTATGAGCTATTTGAGGTAATGAGTGAACAGAGTGCCATGTGGCCAGATAGACGTGCTAAAGTGGGAGTTAGTGGAGCTCGAGAGAGTGAAGCATTCTCTCTTATGTTATCAAAGATTGACTTTCTAGCACGAAAAGTAGAAGGACTTTCTACTTCGTCATGTGGCTCTCATTCAGCTCATATGGTCCAATCCTTATCGATCTGTGAAATGTGCGGAGCTAATCATTTGAGTTCAGGTTGTCCGTTGATTGCCAGTAGTTTGGGATCCACCGAGCAATTGGCATATACACAAAATTTTCAACGCCCTGGGGTACAATCCTTACACTCAAACTTATAACCCTGGATGGCGTAACTACCCTAACTTCTCTTATGGTAATAACCAGAATGTCTTAAATCCTAAACCACAAGAGAAGAAAGAAGGTTGGGAAGAGGCCATTGCTAAGTTAGCAAATCATCAATTGCAATACCAAGAACGCAATGATGCATCGTTGAAAAATTTGGAAAGGCAGGTGGGCCTGATTGCAAAACTTCTCTCTGAGAGGCCTCAAGGGGCTTTACCCAGTGACACTGAAACAAATCCCAGAGAGAATGCAAAGGCCATTATTACCAGGAGTGGGATTCAATTACCTGAACCCACGGTAGTACAACAAAGGCTCGAGCTGACAAAGAACTAGTCGTTGAAAATGAGGTGGTGCAAGCACCTAAAGAGGTTGTTGAAGAAGATAAGACTGATGAATAGGAGCCATTAACATCAAAGACTCCAATTCTAGTCAAAGCCTATATACCTCCTATTCCTTTCCCTCAAAGGCTCCAGAAGCATAAACTGGATATTCAATTTGGTAAGTTTTTGGAGGTGTTTAAAAAGCTACACATTAACATTCTGTTTGCAGATGCTCTGGCTCAAATGCCGAGTTATGCGAAGTTCATGAAAGATATCCTTTCTAACAAAAGGAAACTTGAAGAGCATGAAACGGTGATGTTGACGGAAGAGTGTAGCGCCATTCTCCAGAACAAATTGCCTCCTAAAATCAAAGATCCAAGGAGCTTTACTATTCTATGTGCTATTGGGGATCTTAATTTTACTAAAGCTTTGTGTGATCTCGGAGCGAGCATTAACTTAATGCCCTTGTCTATTTTTGAAAAGTTGGGAATGGGAGAAGCAAAGGCTACTACAGTATCATTGCAATTGGCCGATCGGTCAATTAAATATCCTCGAGGTGTGGTTGAGGATGTCTTGGTAAGAGTGGATAAGTTCATCTTCCCTACTGATTTCATTATACTTGACATGGAAGCAGATAATGATATCCCTATCATTCTGGGACGACCATTTCTTGCCACCGGCTGAGCCTTGATTGACGTGCAAGAGGATAAACTCATTTTAAGGATACAAGATGAGCAAGTCACTTTTAACATCTTGAAATCCACAAAGTACCCGCCAGAACCAGATGACTGTTTTCGGGTGGATATGATTAATCATTTGGTTGCCGACTCTCTTTATGGGAGTTCTGACGACACCCTTGAGAGATGCCTAGTAAGTTCTTCTGATATAAGTGATGGTGACCCCGATGTTGAAGGTATAACAAATTACTTGGAAGTTACACCATTCCGCACCTTCAAGAGGGTACCATATTATGAGGAGTTGGAAAAGACATCTTCAATACCTCTTTCATCTTATCAAAAAGCCCCTACGCTTGATTTGAAAACACTTCCGCCTCATTTGAGGTACGCCTATTTAGGAGAATCATCCACACTTCTAGTGATCATCTCCAATTCCTTAACCGATCTAGAAGTAGAGAAGCTACTTTGAGTCTTGCGAGAACATAAGGAAGCAATTGGATGGATGATAAATGATATTCGAGGAATCAGTCTGTCATTTTGTATGCACAAAATACTGATGGAGAATGACTTTAAGCCATCAGTCGAGCATCAAAGGCGGTTAAATCCGAATATGAAGGAAGTGGTGAGAGCGGAAGTTGTTAAATTACTTGATGCAGGCATTATCTATCCCATTTTTGATAGTCCATGGATAAGTCATGTTCAAGTTGTACCTAAGAAAGGAGGCATAACGGTAGTGAAAAATGAGGACAACGAACTCATACCCACTAGACTGGTGACTGGTTGGTGAGTGTATATTGACCACCGTAAGTTAAATACTGCAACTAGAAAGGATCACTTCCCTCTTGGTTTCATAGATCAAATGCTAGAGCGGTTGGCAGGGTATTCACATTATTGTTTTCTTAATGGGTATTCGGGCTATAATCAAATTTCAATAGCTTTGAAAGATCAAGAGAAAACAACATTTACATGCCCGTACGGTACTTTTGCGTACAGGAGAATACCCTTTGGCCTGTGCAATGCACCTGCTACGTTCCAAAGGTGTATGATGGCGATTTTCTCCGACATGGTGGAGAAAAGTATTGAGATTTTTATGGATGATTTTTCAGTTTTCGGTGCCTCATTTAATAGATGCCTTAACAATTTAGAGATGGTACTTAGACGATGTAAAGAGACCAATTTGGTTCTAAATTGGGAAAAGTGTCATTTCATGGTCAAAGAAGGCATAGTTCTTGGCCATCGAATTTCTCTGAAAGGCATAGAGGTTGATAAGGCGAAAATTCAAGTAATTGAAAAATTGCCTCTACCAACTACAATTAAGGGAATTCAAAGTTTTCTCGGACATGCAGGCTTTTACAGGAGGTTCATTAAAGACTTTTCAAAAATTACAAAACCTCTTTGTTCCTTGCTTGAAAAGAACACAGCCTTTAATTTCTCCCAAGAATGTCTTAATGCTTTCAATGCACTAAAGGAAAAGCTCATCATGGCTCCTATTATCACAACTCCAGATTGGAATCTTCCATTCGAGCTGATGTACGATGCTAGTGATTATGCTGTTGGAGCTGTTCTGGGACAGCGGAGAGATAAAGTCCTGCATGTTATCTATTACGCCAGTCAAACTTTGACCGATGCGCAATTGAATTATGCTACTACTGAAAAGGAGATGCTAGCAGTAGTATTTGCATTTAATAAATTTCGGTCATACCTCATTGGTTCCAAAGTAATTGTCTACACTGACCACTCGGCCATCAAATATTTGTTCGCAAAGAAAGATGCCAAGCCGAGGTTGATCAGATGGGTACTCCTCTTGCAGGAATTCGACCTCGAGATTCGAGATAAAAAGGGAATTGAAAATGTCGTTGCTGATCATTTATCTCGTCTCGAGCAACCCGAAGACGTTTTGGAAGGTGAAATCAATGAGGTGTTTCCTGATGAACAGCTGTTGCAAATCATCCAGATTTTAAAGCCAATCATACACCGTGGTATGCAGACCATGTGAACTATCTTGTTAGTGGCATCATACCCCCAGATCTTTCTTATCAACAAAGGAAGAGGTTCTTTGCTGATGTGAAGCATTACTTCTGGGAAGATCCTTTGTTATTCAAACGGGGTCCGGATCAAATTATCCGGAGACGTGTGCCGGAAGAGGAAATGGAGAAAATACTTGAACGATGTCATTCTTCTCAATATGGTGGTCACTTTGGTGCTGTAAAAACTACATCAAAGGTCCTTCAATCTGGTTTTTATTGGCCCACCTTATTTAAGGATGCTTATACACTTGTCTCTAAGTGTGATCGATGCCAACGAACTGGTAAAATTTCCAAACGTAATGAAATCCCATTGAATTCCTTATTGGAGGTGGAGATATTTGATGTTTGGGGTATTGATTTTATGAGGCCATTTCCGTCCTCATTTTCAAATAAATACATATTGGTGGTTGTAGACTACGTGTCAAAGTGGGTAAAGCGGTAGCTTTACCTACTAATGATGCTCAGGTGGTAGTAAATTTTTTGAAGAAAAATATTTTCTCGGGCTATGGCACTCCCCGAGCTATCATTAGTGATGGTGCTAAACATTTCTGTAATCGCCTCTTCGACTCACTTTTGACCAAATATGGAGTGAATCATCGAGTGGCCACTCCCTATCATCCCCAAAAAAGTGGCCAAGTTGAAATATCTAATCGAGAGTTAAAGAGAATTCTCGAGTTGACGGTCAATGCATCAAGAAAAGATTGGTCCAAGAAGTTGGACGATGCATTGTGGGCATATCAGACTGCTTTTAAAACACCGATTGGTATGTCTCCATATCGGCTTCTATTTGGAAAAGCATGTCATTAACCAGTCGAACTCGAACATCGGGCCTATTAGGCTATCAAAGCCTTGAATTTTGATGAAAAATTGGGCGATGAGAAGAGATTGCTCCAACTGAATGAACTTGACGAAATCCGCCTTGATACATATGAGAGTGTACGTCTCTATAAAGAAAAGACAAAGAGATGGCATGATCAGCACATTGTGAGGCGGGAGTTTTTTGTCGGGCAACAAGTTCTTCTGTACAATTCTCGACTCCAGTTATTCCCTGGAAAACTCCGCTCCAGATGGTCGGGTCCTTTCACCATCATAAAAAATTTTCCACATGGAGCGGTTGAGCTTCTTGATGAAAGAAAGGCGAATTTCAAAGTAAATGATCACAGATTGAAACCATATCTGGGAGGTGATTTTGCTAATGAAAAATCTTCCATTCCTTTCAAAGATCCGAAATAAAGATGCCCTATAGTCGAGCTAAGGACTATAACCAAGCGCTTGTTGGGAGGCAGCCCAACTGTTTTAACTCTTGTTTTATTTATTTACTTTTAATGCTTTTGGTTATTATATTGTTGAACTAATATATTTATTTTGTAAGAAATTTTTGATATCCCAGCCATTTCTGGATCTCCCAGGTTCTGGAACAATTCATGTGCAAAGAAGTCTTTGATCCAAGTGACTCGCGTTCATCATAAGTCCAGCAAATGCATTGGTTCCACTTTACGAATGGCTATTCAGGGAAGTTTCCTTATTCCACTTTACTTTAGCTTGTTATTTACACATTGAGGACAATGTGTGAATTAAGTTTGGGGGTGATGAGCCTTGCCGGCTTTCTTTTTGTGTTTGTACATATTTTTTGTGTGTTATATCGACATGTTTGGTGAGCTTTGCCAGCTTTGAAATGCGTGATGTTGAAATTGTTCTTGATTCATAAGCTATGCATGCGTGCCAAATATGCTATTATGTGTAAAAATTTTCGATTCAAAAATTGCTTTTTCTATGTGAGATCTTGAGTTACATTGAACATAGTCATGATTAATTATCATTTAGATGTGGAAATAGCTGTTTGTTGGAAAATTTTTGAATTGGTAAGAACTTAGGTTGTCAGTTACCTGAAACAGTATATCAACTTATGTCTTATTCTCTTTCACTTTACCTTGTACTGTGAGAAATGTTGAATTAGCTAGTTTGTTATTTTCATTGAAGATGTAGTAACTGAATAGGGTGAACACAAAAGCTGGTGAGACTTTGAGCCGATAGACTGACATTTATTACAGTCTCATCATTTCTTTCTGGTGTGACATTATTCCATGATTATGATTCTCTAGAACTTGCGTTGCTTCTTTTCTAGATCACATTGATACATGTATACATGAATATGATTAAGGCAATTTTTGTTACCACTTTAGCCAAATAGCTTACCATGAAATTACTCTTTCCTTTGATAACCCCTTTGAGCCTATTTGCCTTTTCTTTGGTTTACCCACATTACAAGCTTTCATTTCCAGAAAACAATATCTTTATCTAGCCCTCAAAGCTAGTGGAGTGTATTTGGTTTTATTGAATGTTGGGTGTGGAAGAAAAGAAGTTTGGGGGTATCAATATCATTTGAGGTGCTATGTTGGTGTAAAAAAAAAAAAATTGTTTGACAAGGGAAAATATGTGGAGGAGACTGATTTTGAGTGACTAAATTTATAAGTTCTCCTGAGAGTTGAAAGAAGAAAAAGGGTGATTGTGCTGAATTGATGATGAGTAAGAAGTTATTGATTGGAGGGATAGGGTTGTGTACAGATCATGTCTATGCTGAGCTAAGTTGAATATCTTTTACTCCACTGATTTATTTGAGGCTTTGTAGTCACTTATCCAAATGTTTCAACACCTTAACCTTAAGCCACATTTCAACCCTAAAAAGACCTTATGATTTATGTAATGCATGTGATCTAAGTGGTGACGATTGAGAAAATATGCAAGCTTATGGTAGAACATTTTCATTGGAATGATCTGAGCGAAACAGTACCCAATCTTATACACTTGAGAGTGAGTGATTATACTATCTTGCGAGGTTCTACATGTTCAGTTACTTTATCTTCATCTGATAATGCATACTAGTTGAGTATTTTTGATCGATAAAGAAAAGAGTGTTTGAGAGCAACCTTTAGATTTACACTTGGGAAATGAAGTGGAATATCTGTATTTGAGTGTGAAT